GACCTACAATTCCTTTTTTTCGTTCCTGTAGGAGATTTCTTATGGGTAATCACTCCTATCTTTCTTTTGTTTGTCGATTAATTCTTTGATAATCCTCCCCTTCATGATTATCACTCATAATCTTTCATTCATTTTTACAAAATCAATACTACCTTGAATTATAACTCACATATTTGTAACCCTAAAATTGGTTCTTCTCACGTTCTCATTCAACATATAATTCTATCTTCTATACAATCAATTTCTAACATTTCATATTGTTACCATTTCTCTGGCAGTGGCGCTAAAATGTTGTTCTCGTTGTGTTCAAGCTTCAATATACCAAAGTAATTGAACTAATAGAGGACGGTTCGAATAAGAGAAAAGACTAATTATATGAATTGGGTCTATTAGTGTCACAATTGACTATACTCTAGCTATCTAAAATCAATTATCAAACTACAAAACACCAAAGCTTACTACTTCCGTCTTGATTCAACACATAATCCATTCTATGACTATCAATTCAACAATACTTCCATATTATTATTAGTTCATCTCCCACTTACTCTCTTTGTGGTTTATATATATTCATTTACTGATCCCCAACTTACTTATTATATTCAGTTTCTCAATTCATCACACACAATTCAATATCTTCACTTAATATAACATAATTCGATAATCTCAATTCTCAAGGTCACAGATTTTCTCCAAAACGGTTAGTCCAAAGTCATATTCTACAATATTCTAATCACCGTTTCAACAATACTTCTCTCAATCACAATTCTTCATAAGCAAATAATAAAAGCAAAGAAAATAAAGAGATAGTACTAAGCTTACCCGGCTTACGACTCTCACAGTCTAGCTCCAATCTCCCTTTTCTCAACCTCTTTATCCTACCAAAAGATGGACCGTCATCCAGTAGATTCCAAAGGTTATGACCCTTTGAATTCTTAACCATTTGTTCCACTAACATCCTAATGTTACCAACTAAACTGCCTAACCATAAGTCTAATTCTCAAGGTTTTCAATAACCAACTAGTAACTTATCACAAAATTTATTTACCTATTCTATAATATTATATTTAGTATTTTTTTCTAATATTTTGAAAAAAAGTTCTTCTCTTTGTTAGTTTTTTAAAAAGCTCTTATTTTTTTCAAAAGTTATTAGCATGAAGTTGTAGTGCAATTTTGAATAAAGAAAGCCAACTGCTCTTTAGGGATTTTTTTTGGGATTTTACTTTAGGAATTTTTTTTGGAGATTTTTTTATAGTATTTTTTAAATTTTAAATTGATATTTTAAGAAATTCTTCTTTTTTAAAAAATATTTCAAAAATCTCTTACTTGCTTCAAAAAGAATTAGTACAAAATTATAGTATTTTTTTGGAATAAGAAGAAGTCAATTGCCTTATGGTAATATGAATAATGGCTTTGTTTGCTTGTAAAATATGTTATAAAAATTTTTAGAAAGTGAGATTTGATATGCATATGTATGATCTAAGTAGCTTTTCAAAAAGCTATTGTATGCTTAAATCTAATGAAGTATGGAGCTATAGCAAGTAGTTAAATAAAAAAAGAGATCACAACTCTCATATAATATTATGAGTATATGACATTATTAGCCAATTTTTTATCAATGATGAATGAAAGATAATATTTAAATGAAAGATAATATTTGACATATCTAATTATAGTGATAAATCTTATATTTTTTTAAAACAAATATTCTTATTTTAATACTATATGATTGTTTAATTGATCTTCAAGAAGAAGCTCAACTACCAATTAAATCAATCTATAGCTTATTGCAAAATAAATTGGCTACACCTACAAAATACATTGATAAAAACTTGGCTAATAATTTCATATGCCATTCAAAATTTCTAATAGGTGCTCCTATCTTATTTGTAAAGAAAAAAGATGAATTATTATAGATGTGTGTAGACTATTAAAAACTCAACAAGATCACCATCAAGAATAAGTATTCTTTACTTTTAATTTTAAGACTTTTTAATCAACTCAATTAAATAAAGATCTATATAAAAATAGATCTATAAGAAGCATATAATCTTATACATACAAAACAAAGAGATGAATAGAAGAATGCATTTTGAATCAAATATAAATATTTTGAATATAATATTTTTTGAACTCACAAATGTACCAGTTGCTTTTCAACATCTAACACATAATGTCTTTTATGAATTTTTTGATGATTTTATTATTTATTATCTAGAAATTATTTTAATTTATTTTAAGAATATAAAAGAATATAAACTTTATATTTGTTATATGTTACAAAAATTTAGAGATGCAAGATTATACAAAAAGATAAAAAAGTGTATCTTTCACACTACTTAGGTTGTCTTTTTAAGATATATTATTTCAAATGATGGCCTTATAATAGAACTTAAGATAATCCAAACTATCATAGATTAGAAGGTTCCAAAAATAATTAAATATATATAATATTTTTTAAAATTTTAAATTATTATTAAATCTTTATTAAGAATTTTTCTTAAATTGTGGCTCTTTTTACATACTTCATATGTAAAGAAAAACTTGAATAGAGCAAAGAAATTGAAGCATCTTTTGAAGCTTTGAAGATAATTTTTGCTTCTATATTAATCTTATATTGTCTTGATAATTCCACGATATTCTTCATAAAAAAAAATATTTTAGAAATAAAAATAATATTGTTACAAATAGAAATAAATGACAAATTCCATTCTTTAGCTTTTTATTCTAAAAAATTTTAGATGTCAAGATTAACTGTAGAATCCATAACAAGGATTTTTTTGTAATTTTGGATTTATTTTATGAATGGCATTATTATTTAGAAGGTGCTTCTATTCTAATTGTAATGTACATAAATTATAAGAATCTAGAATATTTTATGTTCACATGTGTTTTGAATTATCGCCAAGTTTGTTAGCACATGTTTTTATGAAAATTTAATTTTAAGATTATTTATTGATTAAAAAAGAAAAAAGGTTTATTAAATATTTTTTTTAAAAATTGTTATATTACATCAAAAGAAAAAGATATAGCTTTTGATTAACAAAAATAATTCTCTTGAAAACAAAATATTTTTATCTTCAAGCAATAAAATCAATATTAACTGTTGATTTAACCTTTCTCAAGTAAGTTTAATCAAATATGTTCTTTCATTTTTTATTTATGATATTAAGATTAATTCTTCTAAATCTCATTATACTTCTAAGTTTAAGTTTAAAAATAATCTATTCTATTTTAGAGATCACTTCTATGTTCAAGAAGGTGAATTATGATTACATATTATTCAACCTTGTTACAACTTTCTAATAGCAAGATATTTTGGATACAACAAGACTTTTAAGCTAATATCTAATAATTTTTGGTGGCCTCAAATTAAAAAGGCAGTTTAAGACTTTGTATAATCATGTAACATTTGTTTGAGATTAAAGAATCTTTATCATTAATTTTATAGACTTTTTTAACCATTACCTGTTTTTGAACAACCATAGTATTTTGTTTTTATGGATTTTATCATAATGTTATGTTACATGTTGTCTTATTTGAAAATGCACTAGACACCTAGCAATAAAAAGTGAAGCTATATTTTACAAGTATCCAAGAATTCCTAATAGGTTTCACCTATATAAAAAAAATGCAATTAAAATTTTAATTTAAAAAGTGCTTAAAATAAATACAAAAAGCTCAAAAATACTCTTCTTAGTAATCTTAATCATATACAAAATCCTAAATCTCAATTATCCAAGACCATAATCTAAAAAAACTCTTACAACCTTCAATTTAACCATGCAATTGATAATAAATTTTTTTACACATATTAATAATAAGCTTAGTAACAAACTAATAAATTTTTACCTATAAATATACTAAATCACTCCCAAAATCATTAAATTTATGAACTTCTTTATATTTCTTGGAATTCAAACCTACAAAATAAATCTTTCACTTTGAAAAGCTCTAAAAACTTCAATATACTTTCAAATCATATGAAATCAACTCTCAAAAATCTTTTCACTAATTTTCTCTTAAACTCCACTCTTTGATTGACTAAAAAACCATAAAGTCACCATAGATATGTGGTTTTGAGCCTCAACCTCTAATTTCAACTTTGATTCACAACTGGTCTTCTTTGGATATTAATTCTTAATATTTTGAGATAATTTTTGCTATAACCTATTTTTAAACTTCTCCTAAATATTTTTTATATCAATAATTTATCTCATTTACTTTGATTTGACTTATTTATACCTCTACAAATCAGGTGAAAACCTTTTCTTAAAAAAAGCAGTATTAGCACTTAATTTTACTACTTCCTTATCTATTATCTATATTTTTAAGATAATTTTTAAAAATAATTTCATTTAAACTCCTCTAAAACAAAATATTTCCTTTCTTCTTTTACCTAAGGGCTGTATTATTATATGACATCCACCCTACCTGAATGCTAAGTGTGGCTCTAAATATCAAACTTAGATGTTGAATTTCTATCTACGTCTCTTATTCAGGACACATAGATCCTCAAGAAGACCTCAAGGAGACCACTCTGACGCTGAAGTCTGCCAAGTAATCTAAAACCCATTTAATAAATGCCCATAAGCTGTCATTATAAAATTAAGAAAACAGATTAGTTCGTAACCAAATAAAAGATAGGTTCGTTCACCAACTAGCTGATTAAAAGGATTAGGTGCTGAACCAGAGAAAAGCTTGTAACTCTGTTACAGAGATAGCCAGTTTGGAGGACTGCATGGTTCTGCACCTCTTCAGCTCCGCTTTCATTTTGGCCACCACAGTCTGCATAGAAGATCCGAAAGCTGGTTGTCTCCAAGTAATCCGAGTGCAGTCGAACTCATTGCAGGGCCTAAAGTTTACAAGCGATCCGCTTGTACCAATTGGATGCTCTTGCATTTCAAGAAGTTAGTTCCGACAATCGATGTAATTCAGACAGTGGTTTAGAATGCGCATTCATGCCGACGTGCATCAGCAAATTTTAAATGGATCAGCTGTTGTAGTTAAAGGGTGAATGAAGTGGTACACAGAGCGTGCTAGCCACGTCAATCGGGATCAGCAGGCAGTGTTATCCCCCTTGTACAAGTCAGTATTATGGCAGCTTGTACTGGTGCTGTTAAAAAGTACAAATACCAATTGGTGAAACCTTGTCCCTACCAGAACACATGTGCTAGATTTCGGAGTCCAGAATGAGGTGGCGAGACTACCGATAAACAAGAAGTTAATCTTTTCAATGCCCTTTATCAAATCTATCGGTCTAACCTACATCATGAAGCCGAGAGCTACGCAGAGTAGAGAATGCCCACCCCACAACCACCACGACAATCGATCGGACAACTGTCAAGGAGAGGGTTGATTCGGTGGGACAAGTGTAAGCTACAGGATGATGGAGCGAGGGATAGAAGACACAAAAATGGAACTGCCGTAGAAGCGTATTCCTGCTGTTCCAGCAGCGTATTCAGCTTCCAGCTCGTCTGAAGTGGAACATCAGTTGTACCTGCAAGTACGTCATTGCTTCCTCAGAATCCAAACACGATGCCGATCAATTCAGGAGTGGGGATGAAGGCTTGCATTTAGGATTAGAGGTCGTACAAGAAAGAACCAGACTTAACCGGCTGATTTAGTTGGCACAAAATCCATCGAACTTGACGAAACTGTTGCTAGGATTATGCTAATTCGACAATTCTTCAAGCACTTCATCAATGCAGGACACTAGCTGTAGAGAATCGTGAGATAGGTACCAGTTGCTGGTGTCGGCACTGCAATTAAAACCCCCGGCAGGTGTGATATGCGTTCCATTCAAAAACAACGTTGCCGTTATCCAGTTCATCTGCGCTGTAGGATGGATTCCGTCCCAATTTATATACGATGTAGAGTTCGAACAAGGATAGGACAAATTGACCATGCCACCGTTCATTATCCCCGAGTGTGTACAGAACAAGCTTGCGTTGAAGTTGTATGAGCCACCATAACCGCAGCATGCTGTCAACGTGTCTGACTCGGATATTCCTGAGAAAAAAAACCAGATCACTTAATCTCTATGCCATTATATCATCTACACGTAAAACTGTAGCTCACATTAATTCAGATACAAACTGTTTGTGATTATGTATTCATACTAATCCACGTATTGCGCCATAGCTGCAACCTAATTCCTTCTAGGGCATGTGCGGCTGTAACTGGGCCTCGTTCTGGGTTTGCGCTCTCGAAGTTGGGTTGAATGGTTCGACGATTACATACCGTAGAGTGTAGGGGATTTCAGTACGTCTCTGTACACGCTGTAATAGTCGGCGTAGTAGAACGTAGCATTTGTGTAATTGTGGCGCAGGTCGGCAACGCGGCTTTCGAGCAGCGTGTTGTGGGAGTTGCTGACCTTGTTGGGACTATCCAAACACCCATATGTGTCGTATTTCTCAGAATCCTCGTCGGCATAAAGTGTCAGCAGAGCCGGCAAGCACCCCATGGGCGGTAGGTTCACAATCATTATGCTCCTCGCACCAAATGCGTAGATTCGCTAGAAGACGCGCATCGCATCCACAGTGAAAATCATGATTCCAGGTGAAAAATCAGTCGCATTCAAGACAGATACTTGAGCAATTGGAGCAGGGTTGCAAATCTATGTTTAGGGTTATCATTGGCAGGCCAATGAAAGGAAATGTCCAGTATGCCACAATCAGAGCAACTTGTAGGGAGTCGGAACTGCTTGACTAACTGAAATCACACAGGCGTCTGTATGTACTTTCTCGCACTCATGCTGCTTCTAAACTAATGACATCCACTGTAGCACTGACGTAAGCGCCAGACGAGCGAACCACAAGAAGCTGGTCACATACATACAATAGATCAAGAAGCGAAAGCATTGAGTAACCAGAATTTGATGTCCGCACGGCCCTGTCCATATCAAGTTCACGAGGATGCTAAGTACCTGTATAGCCGCGACGATGGAGTCCACCACCGCATCCACAATGTCAAGAGCTTCCGTCGGGGTCATAGTTTGGTAATACATGGGGAAAAAATAATCCTGAAAACCAGCATAGACGAAGTACAACGAAGTGTTGAGGGAGTCCGAGGCTGGCAGAGACTGATACACGACGCCGCGTGTAGTGCTGTTCAATTCTGTTAACAGTGACATTGAGACTCGCGTGAGAACCTTGAACCAGTGCCCCTACGAGCGTAAGCCACTTCAGGAAAGAGTTACCAGACGTGGGTTGTTAGCATTCGAAAAGCGTAGGAAACAGTGGCACTCGCTGCGTTCCAGCTCTACATCCTTCCAAGTCTATAGATCTAGAATATCCATGCGGTAGAAAAATTGAACGTGCAGAATGTGTTTTGCAGCTCAGAGACATCAAGCCTTGAGAGGGTCGTCTCGAAAGAATAGTGCAGCAACAATGCACCAGCTTAGCCGGTGCTTATATGAGCGTATTCTGCCCCAGACTTACCAACTTGTGCGTAATAAAACTGCAATCGAACTTTGTAGCGCTCCAGCCAAGATACCTGGACATTCAAGGAGAACGGACTGCTGAACCCAGTTTCCTGGACCCACTCGGTATTGTTGCGTGCTGTCGCTCCAGCAACGGCAAAGTTGGCGCCGTATGTGAAGTCCGCAGCGATGCTTCTGAGGATCGCATAATTCGGCTTCCTTCCCATGCCAAACGCTGCTCACGACGACCCATGCAGAGAGACATCATTATCAGCAGGTCGGTTCGCATGGTGGCAATCCGATACATTCAAGACACACTGGTGTGAGTCCACGGACTTCATACAAACCAATATTCTCCCATTGATGTGTACAGTAAACTCCGATGCAATCTGAAGCTACCCGAGACATCACTTCTAGCCCCACAGAAGTTCGTATCACAAGACCTTCGGAAAAGACAGCCGACATGATCAATCTAAGTATACTCCAAGAAGGCTCAGAAGGAAAATGCAGCCAGAGGCAACTTACCAATGTAATCCACCAGAAGCCGACCATCACAGTACCGATCAGCAGCATGATGCGGGAAATTAAAGCCATTAGGATTTGTCTCAGAGTCGATGAACTGGTCCGGAAAGGTAGCGATACCATTGCCATTGTCCGTCAGCGAGTCCCCGAACGAGTACACCGCAGAGCAAGTGCAGTTCTTGAGCTCAGCCTTAGCAGGCTCAAAGAAATTGAATGCGACAGCTAGGGACAGCGTGAAGGCCTCGACGGCCCGCATTCCACCTCCCCTTCTCCTAGTCATCGCCAGCACCGCGACGAAGCGGAACTCGCAGAACTTACCACGCTGATGACCTCACGCACCGGATGGACAATTGAATCTCACAACCTGACACAAAATAACTGAACGAACACAGAGAGAGAGGATATGCAGTTGAAATGATCAAGAAAAAGTCTGAGCTAATTCCAAATGAATGAGACCAGAATGGTTGCATGTGAAGGTATCACACCCGCCCCCGCCACGGCGGACCATGATGGTCCATTTGGTATTAGGTCAGATGATGGACCATGATGGTCTGAGCAAATTCCTAATACCAAATGGACCATCATGTCCGC